CTGCTTTCCCAGGCCACAGGCAGGGAGCTGGAAGGGAAGAGGGGCTGCCGGGATAGAACCGGCGCCCATATGGGATCCCGGGTGTTCAAGGCGAGGACTTTAGTTGCTAGGCCACGCTGCTGGGCCCACCTGTTTCTTTTTTGAAAGCATTTATTTGCTTATTTGAAAGGTGATGTGGGGAGAGACATAGGAACGAACATATTTTCCACCTGCTGATTTACTCCCAAAATGGCTGCAACAGCTGGGGCTGGCTAGGCTGGAGCTAGGAGCCTGAAATTCCATCCTGGTTTCCCATTTGAATGTCAGGGACCCAAGTACTTGGGCCATCCTCTGCCACTTTCCTAGGTCCATGAATAGGAAACTGGATTCAAAGCAAGCAGCCAGGAATCAAACCAGTGCCCACATGAGATGCTGACATTTCCAGGCAGAGGCTTAACTTACTGTACCACAACTGACCTCTCTTTGTCTTTATTTCTATCTTTCTATCCCTCTCTTAGCTTGCTGGGTTTTTTTTTTTCTTCTTCTTCTTCTTAAAGTAAAGAATTAAAAAAAAAAATTTAGACACTAAGAGGTTAGATCGCTTACATTGCTGGTGAAATTGAATTGGTATGGTCTTTTGGGTAAAGATCTTTTTATATACACATACATATGAAGTTGGTTACCAGGGTCAGTGTAGTGGTATATCAGGCTAATCCTCTATAGGCAGTGGTTCATGTCCCGGTTCCTCTGCTTCTAATCCAACTCCCTGCTTAAGACCTGGGAAAGCACTGGAGGATGACTCAAGTCTTTGGGGCTCTGCACTCACATGGGAGACCCAGAAGAAGCTCCTGATTCCTGACTTCAGATTAGCTCAGCTCTGACTGTTGTGGCCATTTGAAGAGTAAAGCAGTGGATGGAAGATCTCTCTCTGTGTGTCACTTCTCTCTGAAAATCTGCCTTTCAAGTACAAACAAGTAACTCTTTAAAAAAGAAGAAAAAAAAAGGGAGAGATGATTGCCACAGCTTGAGAGGTAGGGTCAAAATTATGAAAAGTAGGTATGAGTATATATCCTTATATTGGTGAACATATGAGTACCTTCTATTTCAAGCTAGCGATAACATAACCCCCATAAATGTATTTACATGATTGTAAAAATGTGGATTTCAACATTGTTTATGGCAGAGAGGAGGATAAATGACTTTTATGATGATTGTTCCCATTTATGTGAGATGAGTCTGTGCACATGAATGTATTCAAAAATGCTTGGAAGTGTAATCATTATCTAGGAATTTAGTCAGCGTTCATCCCTTCCTCTCTCTTGTTCACTGTATCTGTCACAAAGCCTTGGTGATTTTCAAGCATTTCTCAAATGATTTTTTTTTACTTTCTGCCTCTTCTGCTGTTCCTTTGTTTGTATATTTGCCTCCATTACTGAAACAGCCCCCTAATTTGTCCTGCCTGGACTCTGTCCACCTCAGCTCTCCTGTCTTTTGCTTGCCAGAGTAGATCTGTCCAGGGAGGTCCGACATGCACATCCACCGCTGATGTGCTTCATTGAGGCCCCTTATGCTAATCCAAACCCCTCACTTGCAGAATGAAGACTGACCTCTTCCATGGTTCCTCACCTCCCACCTTACCCTGCCAATTGCACACTGCCCATCATTTTCCATACACCCTTAAAGCCTTGCTTATGTGTCACTTCTGTTTGGAATTCTCTTCTCTATTCCCCTGCTCAGTGTCTTTCCCAACCATTTATTTTTCTAAAACCCAATTCTAAGAGTCTCTACCACCAAAACATCTTCCTAAATCTTATCCACCATCCCTAGCTAGACTGAATTAGGGGTCTGTCCTGTGTACCCCTGTCTTGTACTTACCATGTGCATTGGCAGTCATTGCTTCTCAGTTTCTCTTTCTCACTATTGATGGCAGGAGCTGCTTTTCTTATCATTGAAATTCTGATACTTAGATCAGTGCCTGGCACTGTTTGTTTGCTCAATGATCTATGCACCTGCCCTCAGCTCCCCCACCACTCCCTTGCAGGATCTTTGGATTATAACCAAAGCGTGGGTTCCTGTTCAAATTTTAAAGATTAAGATTAACCTTTTTTATGTTTAGTAAGTGGAAAAGGATATTTCTTTGGACTCAGATATCTCTAAATGAAACAGCATATGAAATGAGAAGGGAAAAACCATCAAGGAGAAGCTTCATTTATCATTTAGCTTGATTATCTTTTTCACTTTCTTGGTATATTTGGCACATGTTTATATTGATTCTTTTTTAAATTTTAAATGATGTTTACATAGTTGATCAGGATGGGAAGGATCCAGGGTTAGGGTAAAATGGGTGTGATCAATATTTTGAACTTTCTGTTTCTTCTTCCCATTTCTGGGGGTGTGGGGTGGCAAGGAGATAAGAAGAAAAGCCATACCCAACCTCCCAACCATCCCAGTATCCACGGATGGGGAATGGCCACCTGATATCAATTCAGGGTCTCAATGTGGAGCGTGCTTTGTGGGTTCTGCCCAGATGGTTGCAGTAGTTCTGAAATGCCGTTATCCTGCCAATCTATGAGTAAGGAAACCCTTCCAATGTCCGTTGGCTGACACAGTCGACCTTACAGTCTCTATTTGCCCAGATATTTGCTGACAGTTTGGCTTAGTTGTTCAATTTATTCTGTTCTCTTTTGTTTGCTATGGTACCATATGTCCTCTGCAGGCCCCAATGGGCTGCCATATCCTCTATGTGCTCAAAGGCCTGCAATCTACCACTCCATTGTTTACTCTGAAGAAGACAAGTTCTCATGGACGGGCCAAAGGACCCAAGCCATGCAACCTAGGCCCCACCGGAGCTCCCCGCCCCCCAGGGCTCACGGATGCAGCACCCACTGTGCAGGCTGGCTGAAGAGCCCAGGCCAGGCGAACCCAGCCTCACTGGACCCCCAAAACTTGATGTTCTTTGAACTCTCCATGGTAGAACTGAGGAATTACTCAATACCCATTTCTGTGGGTGCCTATAGGGGTGGCTGACACAGCTGCTGTGTGATTAATAATCTGTGGTAAATGGGGCCAAGGACATAAAATGATACCATGTGCTAGAAACCAACAAGGACCAAAGAAGTGCTGTGTTTGGTGTCTTGAGCCAGCAGCCTTGCCTATTTGTTTTTTTGAGTGACTCATTATGGAATTTGAAATTTTATATGACTGACCAGCCACAGACCAGGGCAATGTATAATTTTAGGGTTTAGTGATAGGAGAATACATTTTGGGGGCTAATTTCCACTTAGAAAGAGACATTTGACTTAAGTTAAAAAGAACCAGATTTGCTAATAAACACTGCAGAAAGCAGAATGTCTTCTCTGTGAATGATTAGAACACAAATTATACCCTTTCATGCCAAGATATTATAGCTTGTTTCTGAAAAGCTCTTCCTACGTGTTAGTGTTTCCATTGAAAGTAATTCTGGTGTAAAGAAAAGCTGTTTGAAAGGTAAACTGTTCATGCCATCAAACAAGGTGGAGTTTGTGATTAGGTTTATTGCTGTGAGATGAGTATTTTGTTTTTTGGCGCTGTTTTAATAATTTTAGCAGCAGTAATTTTGTCTTTTTATGGCCTATTTTCCAATAAAAGGTTTTTAAGCAGTCATATAACAAATTATGTAATATGTGCTTTACTTTTCTTGGTATAGCTTCTTCTAAAAAAAAAAGCTTTATAAAGACTATATGCTTTAAAAGTGATTGTTTTTAGCTGTGATTACAACTTGTTTTCAGCAAAGATTTCAGTTCTTGGTGAGATGAGTGTCTTCTTTTGAAAAATTTATTAGTTAAATAGGCCTATGACTACAGGCAGGCTCCACCTTGACTTTTAACCTGGTAGCCATGCTGAATAAATGCTGGGTCAACAGGATGTTTTCATATATCAGTTCATATCTCCACAGTTGCTTCTTTGGATGTAATTGCATAGTCAACTGCCAATGTAATTATTGTCCAATGAAATTGTCTAAAGAGAACAGTAACTACATAGTTAACTTGGTTAATTTTCTAAAACCCATGTGTTCTAGAAAATGACCATATCCATTTTTTTTAGAATAACATGTATTTATTTATCTGAAAGCCAGAGTTATGGAGTAAGAGAGAGAGAGAGCTAGCATCTGTTGGCAACGCCCGCGTCGCCACGTACCCCGAGCTCCGGGTCGAGCGGAGGGACTAGGGTTATGAGACAGACAAGACAGACAACACACAGACACAGTGGGTCATTCATGTGAGGAGAATGCCGTTTATTTGAAGTCAAGCTGCATCTTTTATAGTCTGCTTGGCCCCTCCCAGGATCCTCCCAATGGTTAAGCCACACCTAAGCTCCCCCAAGGACATGCAACAAGGGGAAGCAGGAAGGAGGGAGATTGCAGTCAAGCCACAGGCTAAATGTATCAGGCCATGATTGCCCCTCCCGTTACACCTTTGAGAAACAAGCTGTGCTGTGGAGTTAATCCTTGGGAGACTGGGGCCTACAAGCATCTACTTCTTAATTCCCCCAAATGGCTGTAATGACTGCAGCTGAGCTGATCTGAAGTTAGGAACTAGGAGCTTCTTCTGGGTTGCCAACGTGGGTGCAAAGGTCCAAGCACTTGAAAAATCCTCCACAACTTTCCCAGGCACATTAGCAGGGGTCTAAATCAGAAGTTCAGCAGCCAGGACTCACACCAGTACACCATATGGTATACTGGCACTACAGCTTAATGTGCTGTACCACAGCATTGGCTCCAACCGTCTCCATTCAAAAAAAGAATTTTTTTTTTCTGTCATTGTATACCTTTAATTTTCTTTCCCTTGGTTCCTGTTCTTCAAGACTCTATAAAATAATCCTATAGAAAAAAAAGTTGATATAACAAATTAGAAATAGTAGGGAGAATTTGAAGCTTTGCCTCTGCCCTTCCCCTTTTACCTGCTCTCACCACACTTTGTGGAGAATGTGACTCTTTATCTTGGGTTAGGAAGCTATTCAAAGTGTCTTGTCTTTTCTCATAGTGATCTTGAACCTGAGTGGCTTGACAGTGTGCAGAAAAATGGGGAGCTGTTTTATTTGGAACTGAGTGAGGATGAGGAAGAAACCCTCCTTCCTGAATCACCGACAGTGAACCACGTGCGATTCAGTGAAAATGAGATCATTATTGAAGAGGATGATTACAAAGAAAGAAAAAAGTACGAACCCAAACTCAAGCGGTTTACCAAAATCCTGAAGAGTAAAAGGCTTTTACCCAAGCGTTACAATAAAAAGAACAGCAAAGACAATGGGCCAGTGTCCATCCTCAAGCATCAGTCTAATCAGAAGACAGGAGTCGTGGTCCAGCAGCAGTACAAGGATGTGAATGTGTACGTCAACCCCAGAAAGCTGACTGTCGTCAAAGCCAAAGAGCAGCTCAAACTGCTGGAAGTGCTCCTTGGGATCATCCATCAGACCAAACGGAGCTGGAGAAAGACTGGGAAACAGAGCGAGGCAGAGAAGCTGGCAGTACATGGCCTGCTGCCAGGAGGAGCTGCCATCAAGAGCGGGCAGGTGCTGATTGGTGAGTGTTGCTGGGGAGCACCCTTGTTTGTGAGATGTGTGCTGAAGGATGATGCTCTGTGTGGGACTGAGAAAAGCAGAGTTACGTAGAGTCTCCACAAAGGGCTGCTGAACGTGTTTGATACAGTAGTGAACTTCTTAAGGGAGTGTATTGCAACGCAGAGCCCTCGAAAAACAAGCTCTTAGGAAGTGTCAATTCTGTGTATTCTTTGATCAGGCCCAGGAATAACTTCACCAACCTTCGAGTTTTTAATTATAGAATTTTATTTCATTCTGGTTGTATTTGCTGACAAGAAAAATAAGTTGATTGCACAGTGGTAATTTGGGTTTGAAGGGCTATATCCAATAACATGATACAGAAATATGTGTAATTTATGAATAAAAATACTTTTAAATTGTATGTCTGCTCTTAAGTCATCTAAGTTCTTGGAATGGTTTAAAACTGTTATATTTGGTATAGTTAGTAACAGTGGTGTTATACATAAATTTCCTTTTAAGGATGTGTGTGTCATAAACTATCTTACCAGCTTTGAGGAAAAAAATGAAATATGTATTTTGTTCTGAATATACACACTTAGTAGGCTGAGCATGTTGTGTTGCTGACACAGTGTTGAAGCTAGCCCACTTAGAAATAAACTAATCAAATAAGAGAATATGTCATGAGTGAAACTTTGAAGTTATAATGGTTGTAAAGATCTTTTTAATTGGCCAGGGTTAAGACTGAGATAGAGAAACTTTTATAGTTACTTTAGAAACATATGAAGATGTTTCTGACTTTGAATTTCATTTTCTTATTCGTTGATTCTTATAGCAAAGGTTCTTTTGAGCCTCTGCTAAGTGCCAGATCTACCAAGATCACTGTCACCATCATTCTACTTCTAGAAAGGACCTTAGAAGCTCACACTACAGGGGAAAAGAAGGGTGACGAAGAGGTGACAAAGAGGCCCACAGTTGGACACAGTGTGGCCAGTGTTGCCATGGGGATTTGCTGGGAGAGGCCTGTGGAATCACATAGGAAGGGTTTTGGTATCGGTGGCCAAATGTGTGTTCTGGAATGGTCACTTATGGTCTTCATATTCTCCTCTTAGAATGTAATGTTGATTTTCCTCCCATAGAGTGTTCCGTACATGACTTTGAGTCTAGACGGGTCAGTGACTGCAGCTTATGCAGTGTTTGGGACATTAGAAGTTGGATCAGACAAGGTGATGTGACTTATGCTTGGTTCCTTTGAGGACACCTGTGTTTGGAACCCAGTTGTTATTCTGTGAGGAAGGCCTGCAAACTCAGGGCAGGAGGCTCGGTGGCCATCAGCCTCTCAAGTTTGCTGGGCCTCACTCCAGTTTGCTGAGCCTTGCAGCAATGAGGTTAATGCTAGGCCTGCTCTTTGCCATCTCCCTGAAAGGAAAGAAAATAGACTCAGGGGGAAAGATAACTTTGGCCATGGTGGTTGTACTGTTTGTAAATTTTTTAAAATATTTATTTATTTTGATTGGAAACTCAGATATACAGAGAGGAGGAGAGACAGAGAGAAGCATCTTGCCTCTGATGATTAACTCCCTAAGTCACTGCAACGACCAGAGCTGAGCCAATCTGGCCAGGAGCCAGGAGCCTCTTCCAGGTCTCCCACGTGGGTGCAGGGTCCCAAGGCTTTGGGCTGTCCTCTACTGCTTTCCCAGGCCACAGACAGGGAACTGGATGGGAAGCAGGGCTGCCAGGATTAGAACCAGCGCCCATATGGGATCCTGGTGTGTTCAAGATGAGGACTTCAGCCAGTGGGCCATCGTACCTAACACTATTCCGTAAGAATTCTAATTTTCAGACTTTTGTTAGCATTTCCCTTGTCAATAAATGAAGAAAAGGCCAGGAGGCCTGTAGTTTCCTCTATAGATGATACTATAGATCAGTACCTCTAAATAAAAGTTCTTCATTCATTCAGCAAATATTTTGAAGCCTGCTCAGTGCTAAGCGCCAAATCTCTGTTTATCTCAAAGTAACCATGTACCTACATCTCTGACTCATCCTTAAAACAGAAAACTGATAGATAAGAGCAGTAAGGTTTTTTTTTCTTCTAATCTTTCTTAGTTACTTAAGGTACAAAGGGTCAAGGGCTACAGGAAAGTGGGTAAGACCATTGTCTCCACACTAATATCATTTTTTCCCCTGTATCTGAGGTCAGGGGAGAAACAAAAGGAGAAGCCCCACCCAGGAACCTCTTCCGGGTCTCCCATCTGGGGGCATGGTCCCAAAGCTTTGGGCCATCCTCAACTGCTTTCCCAAGCCACAAGCAGGGAGCTGGAAGGGGAGAGGAGCTGCCGTAATTAGAACCGGTGCCCATATGGGATCCTGGCGTGTTCAAGGGAAGGACTTAAGCCGCTAGGCCACGGTACCAGGACCCAGAACTGTTTCTTGTATGTGCTTGCCAATACAGCGTCTGGCACCGTCTGTTACCCCTGTCAGCTTATGCACATGCTGGTGGTTGCAATTGCTGGGTCAGTTCTGTTTCCAGCCCTGTCTTCCACATGAACCAATGGGTGTTATAGTCCAGCTCGATCCTACCCACTTCATACTCAGTCCTCATGCAAATCAGTGGGAGCTGCAACCTAGTCAGGGCAACTCCCCATAACCCCCACCAGGTCTGTCCCCTACCCTGGTTCCCATAATTGCCAGTATGTGCCGCAGACTTGTTCAGTCTGTCCCACATCCCATTAGCTCTCGTACATGTCAGTGGACATTGAAGCCTGGTTCAACCTACCCAACCCTACTTTCCAGCCCACACACATGCATATGGGAGACCCAGAAGAAGTTCCTGGCTCCTGACTTCGAATCAGTCAGCTCTAGCCATTGTGGCCATTTGGGGAGTAAACCAGAGGATAGAAGATTGTTCTATTTCTCCTTCTTTCTGTAAATCTGCCTTTCTAATGAAAATAAATAAATCTATAAAGGAAAAAGAAATAATAACATTTTTAGAAGATGTGAGAGTAGTGCAAGATATGACTCATAAAATAAAAATTGAAAAGTTATACTTAAAATTAACTTGAATTTTCATCAAAAGTTACTGTTAGAGTTAAAAAAGCAAACCTCCTATAACTTACAGTAGGCTTTTAGAAAAAGAACTGCAAATAAGTAACAGAAATATAGACAGCCCAGTTAAATAATGAATAAGAAACTCACACAGGTAGATACTTTTCAAAAGAGGATGCCCAAATGACCCAGAAACTATGAAACCTCAGTAATTGTAGGAGAAATGCGAATGAAAAGCACAGTGAGATGGGAGCACCCAGGCCCCATAGCTGCTGGAGTTTACATGACTGATAATAAGTGCCGTTGAGGCCTGCAGAGTTAGGACTCTTCATGTGGCCTGTTATTTATGTTTTCTTTTGGTGCTTTCTTTCTTGGAAACTTTCTGACTTGCAAAGTAAGGTGCAGTCTTGCACCTTCATTGAGAGTGAAAGAGGCATTGATCAGCAGCACTTTTCACATGGTCCTGTTTGCTGTAGGCCATGGACTTGGAGCCCATGGTTTAGGGGCTTGGTTAGGAGTGAACTATAGTGACAGGCAGGCTTCGTCATGAGCTTGAGGCCTTTGGGTAGGTCTGTTCTGTCTCGAGCTACCTCAGTGTATGCATTTCCCACTGGGTCTGTAAGCAGCATGCTGTCATCTGGATATTAGTTTGGGTGCCCCCAAAGGCTTTGGTCTCTGAAGTCTTATGTTAATGGCAGCAACAGGTGAAAAAACTAAGCTAAACTTGTACTCTCAAGGAATGTGTCTCTTCTGTTAGAAGTCAGTGAGTGACTTATTATTATCATCATTACTATTAACAAACAGAAGTTTATTGCAGGAACTTCTGGAAAAGGCTGTGTGTTGGGGATCCTGGGCCAGGGCTATGTGGGCGGGCCTTCTGTGTCCTCCCACTGCATCTGGGCAATCGGCTGCTACCACTCTGCAGCCTGATGCATGTACATATTGGCCAGGTCTCCTAGTCCCTCTCTGACAGCACCAAGCCCTTCAGCAGTCCTGGGTGGCCAGGGCCTGTGGCGCCCCCGGGCTGTCCCTCCAACCAGGAGATCGTAAGTGGGTTATCAACCAGGCCCACTTCTTTCTGCACAGCCGGCTCCATGGTCTTGACAGTCAGCTCCACCACAGCCAGGCCTGGCCTCTTACTGGAAAGCACCAGGTTGAGAACCTCACCATACTTTTGCATAAGCAAAAGTAGGAGGACATCTCTGGAGTAGCCGCCATGGGATTCATCCTCGTTGCACTTCCACTTCAGCTTGAGTTTGGGGGATCCTTGGGCTTCAGCATCTTCGGGCTCTCTTCTCAGCCTCTGCTGCCGCTCCTCGATCAGCGTGTGCTGCTCTTGCAGCTGCCAGGAGCCTTCAGTCTCGAGCATTCAATCTCTTGCTCGAGCATCCTGGGGCTATGGCACTTGGCATCCTCTTCCTGAGCTTGCCCCTCCCGTGCCTCTAGGTTGAGCTTCATTTTCTTTCTTTTCTCATCAAGCTTCTGGTTCCTCTCGGCTGCCTGTTTCCTGGCTGTCCTGACATTGTCATAGGCAGCTCTGGCTGCGGCATTAGTCAGTACTTCCAAGGCATGGAAGAGCTAGTGGAATTGTTGAGCTGCATTAAGATTATCTGGATTTTTGTGTGGGTAGCAGGAGAGAGCCTTCTGCTGGTAAGCTTCTTCACCTCTTCAGCCTTCTCAATGCCTAGTAGCGCATACATGTCCATCTGTAAGAGCTCTTTGCTGACTACTATGGTTCCAGCCTGAATTTGACCTGACAAGTGCTTTAGAAACAAAACAAAAACAAAAACAACAACAACAAAAAAACGCTTCTAGAGGCTCAGCATGATAGCGTAGTGGCTGAAGTCCTTGCCTTGAACACGCCGGGATCCCATATGGGTGCCAGTTCTAATCCTGGCAGCCCTGCTTCCCATCCAGCTCCCTGCTTGTGACCTGGGAAAGCAGTCAAGGATGGCCCAGAACCTTGGGACCATGCACCGA